GATTTAATATCTGTTCTTGGCTTTTACAATTTTTTTTAAAGGCAGCAGAAACCTTCCTTCTGGGTGACTTGGCTGTTGCTTGTTGGCCTGGGTTTTTCTTTGTCCCCACAGCTCTGAGAGAAATTCATTGCAAACACTTCCAGCCATAATTTTGCTGACTTCTCATCAGAACACAGCAGAAGGTAGTTATTTCTTGCAGTTTCTTTTCTTTCTGTCTTTCTTTTTTATATGTCGCCGGTGGCTTTAAAAAAGGATCTCATCTTATTTCAAATCTTTACCACCCATCAGTCCGTTTGCCATACTGTGGTGATCAAGAGGCCGCTGAGGAGCAGAACAAGGGAATACCGCAGGGCTTAAAATCAGAAAGGTGTGCATCAGGGTTGTACGCGCTCCCCGTGCTTGTTCCATCTGTAGGCTGAGCAAACCATCACAGAAGCTGGCTTAGATGAAGAAGAGTGTGGCATCAGGACTGGAGGAAGGCTTCTTGCTAAATTGCAGGATGCAGATGACCCAACTGTGCTTCCTGAAAGCAAGGACAACCGGAAGCACTTGCCGATGAAGATCAAAGATGGCAGCCTGGAGTGTGGATCACACCTCAGTGTCGAGAAGACCGAAATCTGTACAACTGGATCAGCAGGGAACAACATGATCAACAGAGAACAGATTGATGTTGGCAAGGATTTCGTCCTGCTTGGACCCACAATCAATGCCCATGTAACAGCAGTCAGGAGATCAAAGGCCTCAATGCCCTAGGTACGTCTGCTGCGTGACACTTTTCTAGACCATTGAAAAGCAAGGGTGTTATTTTGAGAACTAAGGCACGCCTGAAAATACCCAAGCTATGGTATCTTCAATTGCCTCTGATGCATGCGAAAGTTGGGACACTGAATAAGGAAGACCAAAGAAGAATCCATTGATGCGTTTGAATTGTGCTGCAAAAGAACATTGAAAATGCTCTGGACTGCTTAAAGGACAGAAAACTCTGTCTTGGAAGAAATACAGCCAGAGTGCTCCTTATAGACAGCATGGCGAGATTTCATCTTACATACGTTGAACATGTTGTCAGGAGAGACTAGTCCCTGGAGAAGGACATCGTGCTTAGTAACATAGAGGGGCAGCACATGCAAAAGAGGAAGATGGAGACACAGTGCCTGCAACAGTGGGCTCAGGCATAGGAACAATTGTGAGGCTGACACAGGACCGGGCAGTATTCCGTTCTGTTGTACACAGGGTCGATATGGGTCAGAACCAACTGGATTGCCCTTAACAATGAATGATGCAGGAAACTCAGCCATTGGCATCTCAGACATCAGCTGGGTCTCCATGGCGGCCGGGTCTGAGTGGAGCTTCTGAACTAAGATAGAGGAGCAAGAAAAGCTGTTTACTTCCAAGACTGAGCCAATGAAAACCCAACTGAACAGAATATTGTCCCTTAGGGTGCTGGGAGATGGGCCCCCAAGTTAGCAGGCCTTCAAAACACACAGTGGCTGTAATCATTAGCGCAGACACCCCCACGATCATGCAGATGGTGCAGGGCGGTGCAGGTTCCCTTCGGCTGTAGTATTAAATAAAAAGTGAGGCGGATGGAGGGTGGGGGGACCAGCCCCCACCCGCTGCTACTCCTACGAGTTCAGTAATACTACTTCTGGGTTCAGTAATGCACAATTGTACGGTTGAGATATATAAGCATTATATTAAAGTCATTGAGAGCATGAGAGATAATGCAATAATACAGTCAGGCATGTTACATAGCAACATTGCTCACCTCAGCCCAGCTTGGTGGTCCACGTGGAGAGGAGGAAGGGAAGGAGGGGAAGGGAACAAGGGAGAGGGGAGTGACCAGGGGGTGAGCAGCAAGGAGCTCAGAGTCAGAGAGAGAGGTCCGACTGCTCTATATTGCTGACCCATGCCTATATACCTTTTGGGAGCATGTCAGCCCACTAATTACAGGTAGAGACATACGTCACAGGGAGGGATTGCACTATAGGCTACACAGCAATGAGAGGGTGGTCTAGGGGGTGGTCTCTGGGTCTCCATAGGAACCCTTATCAGTAGGGTGCAAACCCCTCCTACAGGAACCAAGCTAAAGGTCCCAAGCTTCAGAGAGTAGTCCATTGTCTCCAGCAGCAGGGAGCAGGCCCACCCCTGTGGTGGGATGAGACAGCAGTCTGGCAGCAAGTATCTGACTTCCCCCCACATTCGGCTGTACGTGGGGCCTCTGTGAATGGGGGACACATTGGCCACAAACAGCAACAGTAGTTCGAGTCGGTGGTCCTCTTTATAGTCACCTTTCAATCTCATGCCTTCTGTGTTAACTCCCCCATGTACACGCACCCTTTATTTTTCCAATCGCTCAGGCCCATGGTTACATCTCTGGTACTGGGTGCACAGGGATTCGTGTTCTTTGGACTTAGGGCTACCAGCACCTTCCTGGGGACCCACGTGGAGCTTTCAAGTCATCCCTTGGCTAATAGGTATGCAAATTTGAGAGAGGAAACTATTTCCAGCTTTGAGGGGTTAGTTTTGGGGAATCAGGAAAGACTCCGTGGAGAAGGTCATGGTTGAGCTTGCTCCTAAAGGCTGCCCATATAGGAAAGAAAGAGAAAGAGAGTCGCTCAGGGCAGAGGGTGAGGGATGAGTGAAGGAATGAAAGCGAGAAAGAAAGGCATGTTGTTGGAAAGGAAACGGACCCTTCCCGAAAGCTAACAACACGCGCTGCCCTTTCCCGTGTATATTGTCTTATTTAAACCTCATCCTTGTTCGGACACCACAGCAGGTATCCCATCCAATTTAGAGATGAGAAGACTAAGGTTCCAAGGGCTTGGGTGACTTGCCAATCCCCGAGGCTGCACAACTCCTGAGTGGTGGGACCCACCTGGGCTTCAGGCTCATTCCCTGGTGCTTGCTGGGGCTTCCCGAAGAGGTCTGAATGCCGGCGTGACCACACTGACATCAGTTCAGCACAAGGGCTGTCCCCACAGGCCTCCTCAGTTCTATGGAAGCTCCGAGCCTTGTTTTCAAGGTGCCCTTCACCAACGGGGGAACATTGGGTGAGGAGAGACCAGCCCCACCTGGCGAGGCAGGCAGGCTGGCTTCTGAGGCCCTTGGGCAGCAACTGTGGCTCGGTGGTGGTGGCAGGTGCCTCCCTCTTGCTCCCTGCTGTCTGTCCTGCTGGTGCCAGGCTTTCTTTCCACCAGAGCTGGGTACCCGCTGCCATTTTGATGCAAAAGGTGGTTGTTTGGAGAGACTTCCAGGTTGAAAGGGGGCGCCTTGGTTAATGTGCTCCTCAGATAATCAGCACATCTGTCTGCTTCCATGAAGATGTGTCTCCTTGGGAGCCCTGGAGAGCGGTTCTGGCTCTGTCCTGTTGGGCCACCTTCAGTCAAAATTGTCCTCCACAGCAGTGTGTTTTTGGGGGAGTTTAAGGTTGAAATGGTTTAGGGTTCATGGCTCTGTGTCTTTACCATGACCACGGAGTCTTTACCCTTTTACCGTCCACTCACAAAATGGTCAAGAATACCAGTGATCGGTCAGTGAATCCCCATGAAGCAGCCCCCTGTGCGTTCACTGGTTCACTGGCTGATTCCTGCCCTGATACCTGTTGTCCAGCTTCCGTCATGTCAATAGACAATGTTCTTGCCAAACGCCTGCATTTGTCTCTGGACGTCTCCACACCACATGCCCCAAGCAATCCACCGGGTAGAAAAGGCTCCTACCAATTGGAGGAAGCACCTGTTTTTGCCTCTAAAATTCTAACACCTCTGATGCACTTCCCTCTGCTATCTGTCATCCTCTCCAGGACAGAGAGAGTCTTGGTACATAGAAGTGTAGCCTTTGAGACTTGGTGTGGGCTCATTGATGAGGTTTTGTCTGTCATTCCAAGTAGCTCTGCTAGCAATAAGCTGGGGAAGAAGAAAGACTTAAAAAAAAAATTTAAGGACTTGATATTATCCATCTACCAAGATTTAAGCAGAACCCACACATGGTCTGCAAGAGTCGTCCATTCTGTGGGTCCGATGGTTGCCCTCAAACTCTGCCCTAATCCCCTCAGGTAAAGCCACTCAAGGCCGATACACAGAGGGTCTGTGTCACACTCTATCAAAATCACTTTCCACCAAGAGTGGAAATAGGAAGAAAAAAAATACCACCCCACACAGTCATGCTAAGGCTATTGACATTTCTCCTGCTTTGGGTCTTGTTTTCTCCTTACTTGTCCAAATTGGTTTCGTTTTGCTGTTAAGCATTCACACCTGTGCTTCTTTCCATCCCTGACACTTTCTCTGTAGGCCTGGACGTACCAGGTGGTCTATGAGTTCTCTTTTTTTAGTGTGATCCACCCAGATGTATTGCTTAGAGGACTCAGCTAACTTTTTGTGGTTCTGCGACATTATGCAGTAGATGGATATTTTATTAGCCCCCCCACCATCTAACTGGGCTGGATCCCTGGTGGTGTAGTGGTTAAGCATTGGGCTGTGGGATGCATGATTGGCAATTCAAAGCCACCTGCAGTTCCATGGGAGAAAGACTGGGCTTTCTACTGTAAAAAGTTACAGTCTCGGGTCGCTGTGAGTCAGCATTAACTCGATGGCAGTGAGATCTAACTAGGAGCCCTTAGGTGGCACAGAAGTTAGCCATTGGAATCCATCCAGAGAGACCTGGCATCCTCCGCCAAAAGATCAGTGCCATGTGCATCCCGATGAAACATTGACATTTCTACTCTGACATTCAGGGGGGTGCCACAAATCAGAGGTGGCTTGACAGCAATTGATTTGGTATTTCGGTTTTACCACTTAGCCAATCTAGGTAAAATTTTTTGGCTTATGAATAGAAATAGATGATGAAACAATGTATTGATTTAACTGTCTTATTAGATCAGATTTTTTTATGTAGCTGAATCTTTGAGGTGTAATTCCATTGATATTATTCTTGATCATTATTGAACTTTAACTATCAGTATAATTTACCAAAAAAAATTGATCATGTTTATTATTTCGTTTTAGGTCACCAGTGTCTTCAGAAGACCACGGTAAGAATCTGCCTTCCTTATGATCTTGCAGGATGCAAAGCTGAGTTCTGGCCATTGTATCTTAATACCAGAGAGAATCATTTCAGAAAATGTTGTCAAGATGTTGGCCTTGTGGTTTTTTATGGTGAAATGTCGATTACTTTTACAAACCCAACTCCTCCTTGATAAACATTTCTCTCGGTAAATATTTTGAAGTTCAATGTATTCCGCCTCTCTTCTGCACATCAGCAGAAAGATTTTTGTGACTCTTGGTGAATCCTGTGACTTCTCTGAGTCCAGTCTTCATCTTTAGAATGGGGAGTTGGAGTCGATAGTCTACAAGAGGTCAATTATGATCTAGAAGCATTAGGATGCTAACTGCAAGGTCATGGGTTCAAAGTCAGCTGCTTTGTGGGAGAAAGCTGAGGCTGTTCCTATAAAGATTTACAGTCTCAGAAATCCTGCGGAGGAGTTCTGCTCTGTCCTGTCGGCTTTTTATGAGCTGGAATCATCTTGATGGCATGGCTGCTGCTTTTACTTTTTAAAACTTGTGCTATATAATGACGCTATGTGGAGATAACCCCAAATCAAAACCAAACCCACTGCCATTCTAAGTGGTCATAACTGTCGGTAGGGTTTCTGAGACTATAACTCTTTACAGGAGCAGACAGCCTCATCTGTCTCCCACAGAGTTTCTGGTTGGTTTGAACTGCCAACCTTGTGGTTAGCAGTCCAATGCCAAACTTGCAGCACCACCACAGTTCCTTTTATGGGGACAGACAGAGGCAATCGCCAGATGAGGTCATGCCACATGGATGGCTTGACACATACTACAACCCCAAGCCAGTGTGATGAGTCTTAAAGACAATGGCTGACCAAGGGCTAAGAGGGCTCCACACAGTCTTCTTGATGCCGTCCTCAGTTTCCCTAATAACCCCCCTTGTCCATTCTGTGATCCAACAAAAAGTTAGGCTTTCTTTCCTGCCACATCATCAAATCTTTCCCGATCTTGAGATGAAGCTGCATCATGCTCTAGGAAGAATCGTTGGGCAAATTATGTTCAGACACATTAAGTCAGCATTAAGCAATCAATCTTCTGATGACGACCCATTATTACGGGCTGATTCCCATGCCGCACCATGCCACGCCACAGTTATTTCGCTGTGGTGGTGCTTGATGGCATATTTGTGACCTTCCCAGACGTCAAGGTCTCTGAGGTGCTGCGTCCAAACCATAAACTAGAAACATCTGCTCGGTTCTTATGTTGAAGCAGGATTTTCTTGTATGACCTTTGGCCGTTCTTGTCTTGTTATCTGCGAGCGCTGTGTTCTCTACTGATGTATCAGTGACAAATGTTTCCGTATCCGCATGGCATTCTGGGCTGCAGGCAGAAATTAAACCAGCAGTAGCCAGGGCACAAATGGACTGCAGAGGCATAAAGAGAACTTTGCAGGTTGATGAAAATGTTCTGTATCTTATTTGATGTTGTTCCCTAACTGCGTCTTCTTGTTGATCGCAGTCCAGAGCCCAGGCAATCTGACTCAGGGAAGCCCCTTGTGTGCAAAGTGGAACTGCCCCAAGGGGTTTTGAAGGCTGTGGCCTGTCAGAAGCCAGTGGTGAGACCCGTCTTCCAAGGTGCTTCATGCTGGTTCGAGCTCCCGGTCTTTCAGCTAGTAGGCGAGTACCGTATGTTAGTCTAAACGCAGCACACTGGTGCTGGTGGATGATGGTTAAGTATGTGATCATCCTGTCAACCTTACAGGCGTGACATTTACTGTCTATAGATTATTCTGATGAACCTCAGATTAAAACCAAACCAAACCACCCCGCTGAATCCCCACAGCACAGACACGAGGAATGTCAACAGTCCTCTTACGGGACAGGGCATGGTGAGTGGACCTCAGCAGCTGGACTTTGGCCACCAGGCCACACTGTCATTTGATCCCCTCGGGACGTCACGGGACGTTTTTCCTGTAGGTTTAGTCGTCTCTGCTCGCTGTTGGATGGAAGTCTTTTTCTGTTTTCGCTAGGCGTTCTGGCGGGGTCCTTCCTTGCTGTTTGCCCTTGTGCTGTATGCTTTATCCATGGAGGGAAACCAGGAGGGTGGATTGATGAAGACTCGGCTGGGTGGAGGAGCCTGGGGGCCCGGAGACGAGGGTGGGGAAATGGGGAGTCAACATCAGTGGGAATGAGAAGGAAGAAAAGGTTCCAAAATTTATCGTGGTGAGGATTGCACAGCACTTCTTGGTAGGACTGAACGACTGAATTGTATCACACGTTCATGATCGCTAAATAAAATTTTTAAATAAATTAACAAGGGGGCAGAAAAAAAGAACTTTTTTAAAAAAAAGAACTCATTTCTCATTCCCAGAAAAACAGACTTGACTATTGTATCTGGTTTCTCCATTCCACTGGGGATTCTTAACGGCAGTAAGTCATCTGTGGGCATGCATCAGGGACCTTAAAAGTCCTGGAAGTTGATGAATACCTGGAAGACTTTCTCGCTATTATTAGCGCTGAGGAATTGATTATTTTAAGAACTGTTTGTTGTATGTATTGGTTGAAGAAACGTTATACATATTAGAAGGTTTTCATATTTCCATTGCGTAAAGAATGTTATTTCATGACCATAGCTCTCAGTTTGCTTCTGTAACTTCTAAAAATATACTTCAGATGTCAAGTGCAAAGTTGGCGCCCTGGTGGTGTAGTGGTTCCCACTGGACTGTGATCCGCGTGGTCGGCGGTTTGAAACCACCAGCAACTCCTTGAGAGAGACTGGGCTTTCTACTCCCTTAAACAGTTGCAGCCTCAGAAACCCACAGGGAGTTGCCATGCGTCAGCATTGACTCAGTGGCGCTGAGCTTCCTAATTTCATTTTCCATCATCTTCTAGCACATGCATCATTGTAAAGGTATTCTTTTCTTTTTCACTAAGGTTTTCCATACGTTATTAAAATAGGTTTCCTTGTGCACTTTAAAAAGTTGGTATTTCATAGAAGCCTAAATACAGACATGTGCATATGTAAATATATTTATGATTATGGGGAGAATAGACCTATGTGCATATATTTATAGGTCTAGTAGTAGGGTAGCAGGTGGACATTGGGCCTCCTCGTGCGCATTCCCTTCATACAAGAGCACCTTGCTCAGCTAAACGGTCATTTCATGATACCACCCTCCCGACATAATCGCTGAAGACAGACGTGTGCATAAGCAAACGTGGTGAAGAAAGTTGATGGTGCCTGGCTATCAAAAGATATAGCATCTGGGGTCTGAAAGGCTTGAAGGCGAACAAGCGACCATCTATCTCGGAAGCAACAAAGCCCACATAAACGCTGAAGACGAATGTGTGCATAAATAAGTGTGGTGAAGAAGGCTGATGATGCCCGGCTATCGAGAGCTATAGCATCTGGGGTCTTAAAGGCTTGAAAGTAAACCAGCGGCCATCTAGCCCAGAAGCAACAAAGCCCACATGGAAGCAGCACACCAACATGTGTGATCATGAGGGGCCAGGGGCCGAGGGGACCAGGTTTGAAGCACCAAAGACGGTGGGGGGGGGATTCATGTCCTCGTGAATGAAAGGAGCGCATGATGGGGACCTCATGCCCATCTGTAGACAACTGGACATCCCTTGCAGAGGGGTAGTGGGGAGGAGATGGGTCACTCAGAGTTCAGTGTAGCAATAATGAAACTCACAACCTTTCTCTAGTTCTTAAATGCTTCCTCCCCTCAACTATCATGATCCCAATTCTACCTTGCAAACCTGGTTAGACCAGAGGATGCACAGCTGTACAGATGGGAACTGGAAACACAGGAAATCTAGGACAGATGAGCCCCTCGGGACCAGCGGTGAGAGTGGCGGTACTGGGAGGGAAGGGGGTTAGAAAGGGGGAATCGATCACAGGGATCTACATGCAACCTCCCCTCTGGGGGATGGGCAGTGGAGAAGTGGGTGAAGGGAGACGCCGGGCAGTATAAGATAAGATAAAATAATAATTTATAAATTATTAAGGGTTCATGAGGGAGGGGGGAGTAGGGAGGGAGGGGAAGGGAAAAAGGGAAAATGAGCTGATTCCAGGAACCCAAGCAGAAAGTGAATTTGAGAATGATGAGGGCAACAAATGTATAAGTGTGCTGTGCACAATTGATGTATGTATGGATTGTGATAAGAGTTGTATGAGCCCCAATAAAATGATTTTTTTTAAAAGTTGGTATTTACTGCGGCTGACATAGAACCCCTTGAATATTGTATCCTCAATCATGTGTCCCATTTGTTGATATCTAATGAAGCAATCCATTTGGGAAAGAAGTAAGAAATAGCATTATCTTTTTGTCTCCTATTCATGGGTAGAAAAATTGAGGCATGTCGGGGCAAATGGATTGAGACATTGGAATTTAAAACGTCAAAGATTGCAGCTTAAAGGGTGGGGTTATAATTCCATGCCAAGAAAACAAAAATCCTCACATCTGAACCAACAGGCAGCACCATGATAAATGGAGACCAGTTTGAGATTGCCCAGGATTGTATTTTGCTTGGATCCTTAGTCAATGCTCATGGACGCAGCAGTCAAGGAAGCAATGGTCATACTTCTTTCAACTCGTCTGTTGCACAAGACCTCTTTAAAGCATTAAAGAGCAAGGACGTCCCTTTGAGGACTAAGGTGCACTTGTCCTAAGCCACGGTGCTTCAAATCATGTGCTTTATACCTGTGGAAGCTGGACATTGAATAAGAAAGATTGAAGAAGCGCGAATGTATTTGGATTGTGAGGCACGCAGAGAACATCGACAGCGCCATGAGTGTCAAAAGAACAAGCGAATCTGTCTTGGAAGAAGTACAGCCAGAAAACTCTTTAGAAGCCAGGATGCTAAGACTTAATCTCACACGCTTTGGACACATGGTGAGGAAGGAGCAGTCCCTGGAAAAGGACATCATGCTTGGCCAAGTAGGGGTCTGAAGAAGAAGGCGGGAAGACGCTGGATTCAGTGGATTGACACAGTGGCTGCAACAGTGGACTCAAACA